GTTTTCTAAGTTGGTTATATGTATAGGATTTTAAAATTTTGTAATAACTTCCAGATGAATAATCTAACCAAAAACATCAGTAAATATATATGGTAGCTTATGTAGTTGTTCCTCCTTTGCTCTTTTGTTGAATATGCTATTCAATTGTTTTTGTTTCTCTTGTCCTAGCAAATGTATCCCAGAAGAGGGTGCTACACACCAAGAAATGATTTCAAATTTTTTAAAAAAGAGCTTGACACTACAGAAGTATCATTTTCTATGGCCAGTTTGTTTCACTTCATAGGTTAAAATAAATATCCCTAAGACTGCACAAGTCATATTAAAATTAAAAGAAGTTCTGTATGGACACGTCTCTGTGGAATTTTTTTTTTAAAATCAGTTACATTAGAGATTTGTAACTGTGTGGCATCACCTGTTTCAAGCAAACAATTAATTGTCAAAGTGCTCCTAGTGTGTTGAATGGCTGCATGTGCTTAAATCTGAAGCTGATTCTGAATTTTGCAAGATGGATGACACTCAGAAGGTTGGTAGCTATGTTCCAAAATGAACTTTATTTTTGGTTTCCTCACCAATTTGCTCAAATAAGGAGTAACCCAAGATATGTTGACATGCTGCTAAGATATATAAAAGTCAAGTTGTTTGCTCAAGAAACCAAGCGTGGGATTGCTGGCTGCTATAGAGTTTGTAGGAGAGAAAAAGATTATTTTTTTTTAATAAACTGCACAGGATAGCTTTGAATCTTTGTGCTGCTTTATATTGAAGTAAACACATCATATACAAGAATATATATAAAATTAGAAAAATAAAAAGGAGAGTATCTTTTTTTAAACTATCTATCTATCTATATCTATCTAATCTATATATCTCTATCTCTATATCTCTATCTATCCATATATTTTAAAACAATATCTTTTGAAAATATATTTCTTTTGAAAATAGAAAATATATTTCAATTTTTCTGTCCATGAAGACAAGCATAGGAAATCTATAAGCGTGTTAGTCTAGCTCAGAAATAGAATCAGATTTGAATAAAAGAATCCTTAATTGCACACACTTTGCATTGTTCTTTCTTGTTATCTCTATATATTTCTAATTCAATGAACAGAATTTCTCTCATTTGCAAATATATGCCCTCCCCAATACTTTAATTATCCAGTATTTTGTGATTGCAAGTAGTGACCAACAAATGAAATTGAATTGATTTCCTAATTTGTGCCAGTTACTGAGTGAGATATAAATTTGTGTCTATAAGGTGTTCTTCTGTTTATGTATCTTCTGGACATAAAGCAAATGGTAGTTTTGAGGAATGAGCAAAACAATGCAACATGCACACTTTGCTTGTTTTATTTCTAATTGATCCATCCTTGGAATCTGTATCTTTATAGCTGGTCTCCTTGCAGGGAAGATATGCCTACATATCAGAGATCTGAATCTACTGGTCAGCTTGATATCTCAGTAATAATTAATTAGTAATCTGATTAATTAAAAAAGGAGTTAGAAATAAGTTCCTTTCAGTTCATCCCTTGGGTATCCTGTCCTGAATGTGACTGTGGGGCTGCATGCCTGATAGCAAATCATATAGTGACTAGCTGCCAATTAAGAGCTTATACTTACAGGACGGAAAACAGATTTTCTCCAACTAATAAATACTGTGCTGAGTTGAAAAAATAGTCAAGATATTAATATGTAGAACACTTATTCGATTCTCATAAACCAGTATATTTCAAAATGTAATTTATAACTTATATATATTTGAATTCCTCATACCTTGCAAAATTGACTACGTATTTCCATCATATGTGTACCATAGTATTACGTGCTCCTTTTATATATATATATATATTTACTACTGTTACTCATATACTCTACAACAAGGTTTGGGAGGACAATGAAGTCTTCAGGAACTTAGGAAGCCCCAACAGGGTGGCAGCCATGCAGATTTGGGGGGGTGGGGGGGATCTCCTTCTAGAGGGCAGATGCCACTAGGAAAAAAGACATGCTGCTGTCTTTGGATCAAATCAAGAATTGCTCATGATACCCAAAGGAAAGTTTTGAATCCAAAGAAATTGGACATCTACAGTTAGTGAAATGAAACATCACTAGAAATAGCAAAAGATAAAGAGTTATGTTATTAGAGGGATCTTTCCTTGCACTTTTGGCAGAAACTGGTTCAATGCTCGTACTGATTTAACAGTGAGGTATATGTTCTATCAATATGCCCTACCTCTCTGACAGTTTTCAATCCTCACTTTGCTTTGAATCCACACATGCATATTTAAAACATGCTTAAATGTGTGGGCAAGCAAACATCCACAAGAGAATTGCACTCCTTAGGCAGGAGGGCAGAGACATATTATGAATCTGCTCTGTGAAAAAAAGGGGGGGTGGATGTTGTCAGGCAGGCTAAAAGGAGGGATTAAGAATATCTCTATTGCTGCCTTCTCAGCTTTAAATCCCTGTAGCAGAGCCACAAAATTCCTCTTTTTTATTTTTTGCTCTGAATCACCAGAGAGGATGGGAGGGTAATTAAAGGAGTTCCCATTTAGCTTCTCCCTATTTCCCCAACCCTTCTGTAAGTTATATTATTTACAAAAAAAAATCTCAAGTAGAAGCCAGGTCTGGGGGCATCCAAATAGTGATGGGTCAAAAAAATTAAGATAAAAGCATCAAATGCACCATCGCCTCTTTACTTTTTCAAACTCCTACCCCCAGGACTTCTCAGTCCAGTTCGATCCATTCACCGCCCTAATTGCTTAAACCAGTTGGATATCATTCTCCCCGATGAAACAGATTTAAATGTTTTTAATTTCACTTTACATTAAAAAAAACCTTCCAGTAGCTTGAAAAGAAATTACGTTCAAATAGCTCTGAGTTGAACTATTGAATACTCTTATTTGATGTCTTCGATGTGGTACAGTAGATAATGAATACACACAGAGAGTTAAATTGATTGGAAATGATTTAAGATGACTTGTAAAAAAAAATGTCCAGTTGCCTTCTGTGAAGCACAAAATGATAGTGTTGGAAGAATTATCCTTTTGGGTTCAGTTCCAAGTGAGGAAAAAGACACCGGAAACATGGAGGCTGTTTGGAAGGTTTAATGGTGGACAGGACCACATGGCCTGGAGCTCCAGAGTGAAAAGGAAGGATGATCACATGCTCCAAGGTGAAGGAAGAGATCAAGAAAGGGCTGAGGTTCTGAGAGTGCCTGGGTTTTATAACCTTTGTTGGAATTTGAATTGGAGCTTGTTGGAATTTGAATTGGAGCTTGTATTCTGATTGGTTGTCAGACTCCCATGAAGCCATGCAGGGGCAACTCTGTAAGCTGTCCTGAGTTGCAGGCTTGGTTGAGCATTGCTGGATGATGATGATGCACTGAAAAGGGCTTTGCTGTATACCTGGAGATCTTTGTTAGGTAAAGTATTCTGGCCCAGGCCTTTAATGGCTCACCCATTAAGAAAGGTGGGGGTGAGCTTCTACTTCTGAGGTGAGTTTCTGCTTCTGAGTTTCTACTCCTTTTAGGGGAAATATTCTGCCTTTTTAATATTTCCTAGGATATTTCAATTTTCTATGAAAGGGTGGATGCTAACTTCCTACAATCCCTCTTTTTTTTCCCAAAACACATGAGTGTTTTGACAAAAGATGAAAAGGTGATCAGATCAGGGAGACTTGATGGGTGATTTTTATTTTTCTGATGCAAAGGGGGAAGCATTGAAAAAAGAGGCAACAGAAAAGGATTCCTTCGGTGGCTCCCAAAAGCTTTCAACCATGAAGGTCTAGCAGCCTGGGAAAAGTTCTGGAATTTTTTTTTAACAGTATCCATTTTTTGGTGCCAATTAATTTTCAGGTGTTTTGATGTACTTTTTGTGAGCTTACAGTCAGGTTGTAAGCACAAGCCCCTACATTCTCCACAGCCTTTAAATTACAGGCTGCCCATTTCCAAGGTTATGGTTACTACCTGCCTAGCTCTTAGTTTCCAGGGTTTGTGAGGCCAGATTGAGGTTAGCTAGTATGCAATCCAGGCTATTTAGTATTTTTAAAGTTACACACAATGAGCCCTTGGACTTCTACTCATGAGAGAACCAGTGCAACATATCCTGCTTTACAGGGCAACTGGGCAACGTCATTTGTGAGTCACAGTCAGGACTTGGAGTTTGGAGATCTCTTTTCTGCTATCTCTTCAGGAATTGTCTGAGGGAGATGCCCTCTCCCTCCATGGAATTAGCAGGGAGATTTTCTTGGGCTTAATGCCACAGAGCAGCAAAACAAAAGCAAAAAAACATTTAAAAAAGGAAGCTAGGAGCAGCTTTGTGTGGATGTAGGTGAAAGGAATAACCTCTATCTAATTCTGAATGATGTGTCGTTCTGTGTGTGCTTGTGTATGCTTGTGTATGCAGCTACTTTTACAGTACAGATAATACAAACATGCTGGACAATTCCCCCACCCCACCCCCCACCCCACCAGACAGAAGTCCAAGGTGTTCAGAACTTTTTGGGCCAGCCACTCAAATACAATCCTTACATGAGTACATTAGACTGATTGCAATATAAATGATACAAAGAAAGAAAACATTACAATGAATTTAACATTGCAATGAATTTCCACCCTCCCCCCATAATCTTTCTAACTGTCTTCTGGGGATTGAAAAGAGTCTTTTAGTCTTTTACTGGTCCATCTCAGAGTCCTTTCCTTCATGTCTATGGGTGGCATAGGCTTGGCCTGGTGGTGTGGGTGGTCAGTCAGGCTTGGGAAGGTCTGCCCCACTCTGGTTTGCTGTAATGACCTTCAGTGGGGGCTGGATCCAAACCCAATTCTTTGTCTCCAATGGATGGAATGTCTCTAGGGGGCAGCATCTGCTTCCACATGTGACAGGGCAGAAAGACAAAGAACAAGGGACTCCTCCCCTCTTTGCTGGTAATTCTACCAGGAAAGGTGTTGTAAAGGGATTAGAGATTGGGGTGCTGTAGATAGCTTGGAGGCATGGTCTGAGGAGGAAGAAAAATAATACATCAGTATGGCAGTTACTAAAGAGATAAATCAGTTTCAACAAAATGGAGACACAACAGATGAGAAAGGAAAAAAACTAGATTCACAAGCTTCACAAAAAGGATGAACAGGTAAAATCATTTAAACATACAGTAAACACAAGGATGAAACTTTTCTTGTAAATGAACTTGGAACATTCGTTAATAACCTTGGATTTTTCTTAAAAGCACAGAGTGGAAAGAAAATTGAACTCTATTCTCATCCAGTCTAGTTGGCCTGACCAAACCGGGCAAAGACATTTCCTTTTCCCCTCAGTGCTTCCAACTTTTTTTAAAAAAATTAAAACAATGTAAAATTCATGTCTGAAGGGATCAGAGATACTTAACAGTTGCAACAGTTACTTCGAGGACACACAGACCTAGACACATGCATGCGCGCGCGCACACACACACACACACATACACAAACAAGGACACAGAGAAGAAAACAAAACTCTGAGGTTTACACACACATTGATCATTCCCACAATAAATCTGTCAGTTAAATTGGGGAAGGCACCAATCTTAAGGAACAAACCACTTGGTTGCATAGAAGACAGAGAAAGAGACGCAGAAAGAAAGAATTTCTAAAAATCCCATGTGATCCTGTTTTAGATATTGCCCTTTTCTTTCATTTTTCTTTTCTTTTCTTTTTCAAGTACTTTTATTTACCACATTGGTCTTCCGGTATCCCTCAGCAAAGCCCATTCTCTACATACACTTTTTGCTTTCTTCTTTTTCATCCTGGCTAGGGTCAGCATATGCCACTTATCCCAAGCATCCAACAACTCTCCCAGGGGGGTTCCACTCAGGACCCTTAAACTACCACTTGCCATGTTTCCCCTTCTGATGTGGGGTTCTCATACTTTGGCTTAGTCGGGTCAGTCAGTTACCAGTTTGCAGACAAAAAGGTGTCTGGGGGAGACTTTGGATTCCCTTTACAAAGTATGTGCACTCCCCTCCTACGGAACTCTCTGGCCACGGTTTTCGGACTGGGGGAAAACAGTCTGTACAGATTTCCTATCCCCCAAAAAGACAGTCCAGGACAACTTTCTGTCCCCCACAGACAAGTACTGGCACTCCTTCCTCAGGCCTACGTTTTCGGATTTGGAAGAGCTCAAATCCAGGAGGACTTGCTGCTCTTCCGCAGGCAAGCACTGACATTCCTCCCTTCAACTTCCTAATTACACAATTACCTAAAATCCTGGGGTTTGCTTTTGGGATACACCAGACAAAACAACAAAATTTTCTTTCCTCCCTTCAATCATAACCCGCTTGGCTTTCCCTCTTATATACAGAAGGTCCCACACTCTGATGGTCCCCCTTTGCTCTTCCTGTCCTGATGGTCATGGCTCTGTGGAACCAGCAACAGGCAAGAGTCCGGTTAGAGGCCAAACGAGATCCAGCTGCTGTCCAAAGGTCAAGCCACTCATACACACCCTCTTCCTCCTTCCCTAACGAAAGGTCCTGTGCTCTGGCAAAACCCCCATGCTCTCCAGACTTTTGGTCTTTCTGCGGTTAGGAAATGCACAGAAGAAGCAAGATCCAGTTGTGTTTGGGAGAAAGGCCTTCTCACACACATGCAAGCATACACGTATTTCCCATGCTTTAAATTTAGAATTTAGAGGTACTCACCTTCCTTCCAAGTAGCCTTTGAGCGCAACACTCAAAGCCCCTTTAAAACCTTTGTTCCAAATGGCCAAAGTCCAGGAAAACTCACCCACAGACTCAATGGGTCTGTTTGCCAGCAAGGGAATCTTACCTGGTCCTGGTCCTTTAGTTAGGTTAGCTTGGAGTCCCATCTGGGTCACCAAATTGTTGGAAGAATTATGGGTTCAGTTCCAAGTGGGGAAAAAGACACTGGAAACATTGGAGGCTGTTTGGAAGGTTTAATGGTGGACAGGACCACATGGCCTGGAGCTCCAGAGTGAAAAGGAAGGATGATCACATGCTTCAAGGTGAAGGAAGAGATCAAGAAAGGGCTGAGGTGCTGAGAGTGCCTGGGTTCTATAACCTTTTTTGGGATTTGAATTGGAGCTTGTATTCTGATTGGTTGTCAGACTCCCATGAGGCCATGCAGGGGCAACTCTGTAGGCTGTCCTGAGTTCCAGGCTTGGTTGAGCATTGCTGGATGATGATGATGCACTGAAAAGGGCTTTGCTATAGTTTTACCTGGGGACCTTTGTTATGTAAAGTATTCCGGCCCAGGCCTTAATGGCCCATCCCTTAACAAAGGTGGGGGTGAGCTTCTACTTCTGAGGTGAATTTCTGCTTCTGAGTTTCTACTCTTTTTAGGGGAAATATTCTACCTTTTTAATATTTCCTAGGATATTTCAATTTTCTAGGAGAGGGGTGGGTGCTAACTTCCTACAATAGCATTCTTTCAAAATTTGTATAGAAAAATATTATTAATATATGCACATTTTTAATCAAGAGCCAGTGCTGTTCGGTCTTTTAAGGATACCTGACAATCTCCTTGGTATTTTATTCGATTGGCATTCCACCTTATTTCCAAGCAATCGGGATCATATCCATAGTATTTCAGCCTCCAAATTTTCTCTATAAGAATCCTATGGTTGGATTGGGGGAGTAAATGGTCCAGGCCAGCCTGTAGCTAAGTTCCATTTCCTTGTTGTAGCCTAAGTCTAAATATTAGCCCCTTCAGAACATTGGGGTATCAATGTGAAGACCTACAGCAGAGGCTGAGACTGGGCTGGGGGAATGGAACAACCTACACATGGAACAGACAAAACAGAGGTGGAGGGGAATACTTTGTATGCTAAGGCTTGCTTTGTTTCAAACTTATAAACTGAACTGCTGATCCAGACATAAATATGACATCATAATAGGATGGGGATAGCTGATAAATTTCAGGAATGCTCCAGACTGTGAAAGGATTTGGGTCCTCTTGGGAGATAAGCCTGTGTGCTGGAATTCACTATTACACAATGGAAAGTTATGTCCTAAAGGAAAGCTGATAGTGCATTTAAATGGAAAGTTAATGAATTGGGGGAAAGGGAGAACTAATCGACTGATGGAGCGAGCCATGATAAAAAATGCAGGAATAACCATGAAGAAAATGGAATAGATATAATAACACGCAGGGATAAAACAAATGTTAAGCTGGTTCAGGCTCAAGCCCTGTGGAAACTGTGCTGAATTTAATTGGAAATAATAGTACGTAGATTATAGGAGAAAGAGAGAGAGCACTCATTCACAGAACAATGTTTAAAAAAAAAGGAATATTTCTTGGGGTAGATTTTCTGAAGATTAGTGACTTTGGTTCTTAAATCAAAGAAAGTAACTTTTTTTTAAAAAAAAGGTCAGATTAAAAGGTATGTTATTTTAAGAATGAACTCAACTGTTTATTATTGTTTATTATTGTTGTTGTTGTTTGTTATTATTATAAACTTTTATTCATTAAACATGGAACTCAGTCAACTGAACATTTAAAATGTATCACAAATATCATTGACTAGCTCTGATGGTTGATATGGATTGTTGCCATCATCCTAGGTATCAACCAAGTATCTTCTTAAAATGTATGATGTTCAGAGTAGCACAGTTTTTGCAGTTCCGCTGGTATTATTGCAGGAAGCTGATGTATTTTATAAAATTCTTGGACATGGTACAAAGTGCCCCAATGATAATAGGTATCACTGTTACATGTTTCATCCATAGTCACGTAGTTTTGATGGCCAGACTGTGATATTTCTTGACTTTTTTCCAGTTCTTTTTCTTCAACTCTGGCATCTCCTGGAACAGCGATATCAATAAATTGTACACTTTGGTTTTCAACAACTGCGATATCTGGAGTATCTGTGTTCCAAATAAGGATCTATCTATATTCGAAAGTCCCACAAGATCTTCACCTTCTCATTTTCGACAACTTTTTCCACTTTATGATCCCATGACTTTTTGGATATAGGTAAGTCGTATTTTTTATATAATGACCAGTGGATTAATTTAGCAACTTGGTCATGTCTAGCTTTGTAATCAGTTTGCGCAATTTTGCTGCACTCACATATCAAATTTGAAACGGTTTCAACTTTGTCATTACAAAGTTGGCAGTTTAGGTTGTCAGTGGTTTTTTTGTATCTTTGCTTTCATGTCATTAGTTTGTAGTGCTTGTTCCTGAGTAGCCAGTATTAAACCTTCCATTTCTTTCTTGATGGTTCCCATCTTAAGCCATGCCCATGTCAAGTTATCTTCAATGTTTACCTTCAATGTTTTTCAAAGGAACAAATGAAAAGAGTGTGAACAGAAGAACAGGTAGTCCTCAATTTATAACCATTAGTTTAGTGATCATTTGAAGTTACAACACTGAAAAAAATGACTTATGACCAGTTTTCACATGCACAACTGCTGCAGCATTCTCATGATTGCATGATAAAAATTTATGACAGTTTGACATAGTGATGATATGTGACCACCATCCCTAACCTTCCCAGCTGGTTTCCAAGCAGCCAAGTCGATGGGAAAGTCAGATTCACTTTAACAACCACATGATTCACTTAAGAACCACAGTGACTCACTTAACAACTGTGGCAAAGAAGGTTATAAAAGAGGGCACAACTCATTTAACAACTGCCTTGCTTAGCAATGGGAATTTTGGGCTCCGTTGTGATCATAAGTTGAGGACTTCCTGTAAGATAACAGAACACTAAAATAAACAGTGGAACAATGAAAAGGATGAAACAGTGAAAGGTATTATAAGTTGGCAATAAGTATGTCTGAATCCTATATTAAAGGTTCCTTCTGCAATGCTGAAGTCTAGCTAGACATTATGAAGGTTATGTTCTACAAATGTTAGGTCCTCTAACCGAAAACGAAGAATGATACAAAAACACAAAACAGCAAAACAACAAGGAACAAACATGGCAGTGAAAACAAACCTAGACAAAGAAAAAGAAGGAAAAGGGGTGTCAATCATACTCAAAACACCTTCAGGACTCTTTGAAATACTAGTAGAATGGAGGCTGTTCAAACCTTAGGGGGAACCTCACAATTACAGGTATTTATTTATTTATTTATTTATTTATTTATTTATTTTTATTTTTTTGTCAATTGCTTACAAGATAATAGGTATAAGTAAAAGCATAGTTATGAATACATGGATACATATAAGAAAAATAAAAACATAAAAGAAACAATAGGACAGGGACCGTAGGCACGTTGGTGCATTTATGCACGCCCCCTACAGACCTCTTAGGAAAGGGGTAAAGTCAATAGTAGACAGTCTAAGGTTAAAGTTTTTGGGGTTAGGGGAAAAAACCACAGTCAGGTAGAGTATTCCAGACATTGACCACTCTGTTGCTGAAGTCGTATTTCCTGCAATCAAGTTTGGTGCGATTAACCTTGAGTTTGTATCTATTGTTTGCTCTTGTGTTGTTACATCTAAGATGGACTATGGTAATGCACTTTATAGGCCAAAGGTGTCAAACTCACGACTTTCTGGCTTGTGGGCCAGATAAGTCATGCACTGGCCACACCCCCTCCCCATTTTAGTGAAGGAGAAAAAAGTCACGATACGTCACATGATGTGACACTGCAAGTTTGACATCCCTGGTGTAGGCATTCCTCACATCTATGTCCCATCTCTCTCTCCCTCCCTCCCTATCATCTATCTAATCTATCATCTATCTATAGTCAATCTTCTATCATCCACCTATCATTGATCTCTTTCTGCCACGTCCCTGTACCAGTACTGTATTAGAATGGTATTTCTCACTTATTCTGACACTCTCCAAGTGGTGCAGTCACACGTTTTGTATATTTGCACCAATAATGTGGTTTCATACTAATTCAAAGGAAGGCAGATGGCCTTTCAACGCAGCAACAGAGAATAGTCCAGGGTAAACTGAAGACCTTCCAGAAACCTCAGATAGTGGGTATAGCCACCTTTATTATAGCTGCACAGATACACAGGCCATTTAAAGTCCTCAGTGGCCTTTCTAATTAGCCTCTTCCCAAGATCAGTCAAGATTGCTGGCAAACATTAGTGTTCTGGGTGGGATAGACACCCCCCCCTTCACCTTTGGAATGTTCTTCTAAGAAGCAAGTAGTTGACTCCATTTCCAGCTGCTCTTCTGATAAATCAACTCTCAGGTTGGCTCCTGGCAGTTACTTTGGAATTAAGTAATATACGATGACTGTTGTAGCATTATATTTTGCTTGAACAGTTGCAATTTAATGCAGTTTGCGTGTAACTTTGTTGGTGTTATTTTACTCCATTGGTTTGAAAGACAGTTATGAAATGGATTAAATAATATATAAATTAAAGCACCCCCATTTTTCCATGGTGACTCAAACCTACTCTTTCAATATGCTAACTTGACCCTCCCTTTGCTGA